TATTTTACATGTTCATATAATCTTTTCTATCAATGTCTCCTCATTTATATATTATTCTTATATTGTCCTATAAATCAATGTTATTTAACTTATCTCACTTTTCATCTAATCTCATAAGTTGGTTATACAAATTCCTATATATATATCTAACTCATGTAATTTATATCCTTTATCTTGTTATCATATAAATCATTGCTATTTTACATAGTTCGTGATCCTATAGTTACTTATAATAGCATGTGTCTATCTTATCTCATATCATATAGTTCTTTAACTTATGTCTTAAATCACATATTTATTTTACATAACGTATATAATTACATCCACTACTTAAACCAGTTCACATAACTCATCACGCTAACATTTATTCACTCAATTCATGTAACAGATGTAATACATATAACATATGTACCCATTTTCATGTACTCATGCAAACATAAGAATCACAATTCAAATAACATTTTAGAAGTCCCTTCTTACTATAGTACCTCCATCACTGGCTCGTTGCAAGCCAATGTTTATTTGATACATAAGTACAATTTAAATTGCACCCACCTTAGCCTTGCGTTGATTCAATTCTAATCCTTCGATTGTTCTGGAATGAGATTACGCTCTAAATCTACATAGTAATACATTGATACTTATCAGCATACGAATTGATATATTCCAAACTATAAATCCTTAGGCTAAAAGAAAGATATTTCCATCTCTTATTGAAGGTATGCATCGATACACTACACCATGTATCGATGCATCCCTTGACGGGTGCTTCGATGCACTACCCATGCATCGGTGCATAAATCCTATTCGATGTTTGTATTTTAAGCAGGTGCATCGATGCACTCCTTATGCATCGATGCATAAATGGCATTCGATGTTCAATTAATTTAAATGAGTGCATCGATGCACTCCTTATGCATTGATGCACCTTCAACAAATTCTGGGATTTAACCTTGATACATCGATACACATTGAATGTGCACCGATGCACTCTGCCCAGAAATCTCTTTTTTAAACCCGAAAATCATCAATTCTTCATTCAATTCTTTTATTTTAAGCCCCTATTATGTCATTAAATTCAACTACCATTACTTAAACCAACTTATAACCATGTAAACCATCTTTATTTTCCATATCTCATCATGATTCTTAAAAATTAAGAATCTTACTTAACTTTCAACTTTATTATTAATCCTTTCTAACTTCATATATCTCTTATTCGTAGTGATAACAAGTCAAATTCCTTCTCAAATTTCACTTATTAACTCTTTTCCAGAAATTCATTTAAAAACTCATTTTCTTTAATCTCTTCTATATCTTTTATCTTGTTGCTTTAGAACAAATTAAGCTTTCCTTAAGCTTAATTATCATCTAATGATCATAACTCAACCTTAAAATCAATAAGTAATCAACAAACAAAGAAACTCATCTTTGAGTCAAGCTTTCACGTATGAAGAAGGAAGAAGATAAGAGAAGAGAACTCTGGAACCGATATTGAGGATGTTACAATAGTAATAAGCTTAAAACAATTAGAAACAACAACATCTAGGATGACGTAAAACTAGTCTTGTTTGACGCTCGGGACACAGTCAGGACACCCGAGATACTTTAGCATATACGATTGTACAGTTGGATATCCCAGTCAATGCCAGGACATTTAGTCATCGGTTGGGCACAAATGCCCCAAGATTTGACGAAGTAAGTTGGCCATGTTTACGTTTCTGATGAAGCTCTGGATCTCACCCAAATACCTAAGGGTATTTTAGTAAGGCTAGAAGATTGTGTGAGCTCCCAGATGTAGAACCCTCAGCCGCACCATGATGCATATGTTAGTATGTCAGATCAACATTTCCATGTCTTCATATCTATGCCTCTAGCATGCACATTTAGTGAATTCAAGTACTATAGTACAATTATTAGTGAGACACTGAGCTCGTAAGGTCAACATTTAGAATGTGTTTCAATGCTCAGGTTCTTAAAAGACCAATTGAGGAGCATTATTGTCGCCAGTAGTTCCAACTCAACAGAGACTTCAGAGTACGTCTTGATTTTTATTAGAATGCATATATTATTATTATTAAGTCGTAACTCTATTTTGTATTAAACTCATTGTTATGTTATTTTAAGTGTTGAGAGCTCCTTGTATTTGTAAAATGAATTATTATGTTTTATTTATCTTGGATGATTTTCTTTTTCATGGTGTTTTATAATTGATTTTAAAAAAAATTGGGTTAGCCACTTCGTTGGTCTTGTGTGACATCATGATCCAGTGATCTTCGGGTTGGACTGGATTAGGGTGTTACATGACAGGCCTCAACTGTTTTTGAACGATAAATCAATCAAACAAAAGAGTATTTTTCTTTCTATAAATTTTATTTATTATTTAAGAAATTTGATTTCGTTTGTTCTATCTTCTCATGTGTGATTATGATCTCGGATTGTTATACTTTTAACAATCCTAAGAAAGAGTAAATTGATTCTTTATCATTCTTTTTATAATGATATGGTTATTATAATCATTATTATTTTTCTCTATTATTCTCGTATTAACGATTTTTTCTAACAAGCCTTTCAACAAGGTTAACGACAGTTAACTTTGAGTGATCATTTTGTTACAAATTGATAATATTAGTGATTGATTTATAACTTTTGAAAGTTCAATGAAAAATATGAAAATTTCTCAAATTTTAGTGATAATTCGTGTAGTTTATCCTTTTTATTAGTTTAGAGCAATGATTTAAATAGCATTTGCGGTCATGTTTTCGGTCGCGTCGTGTTTATCGCGGTTGCGGATATTACGGATGCCATCGCGGTCACTACGGGTGTCACGGTCGTGAATTTTTTTAAAATTTCGCACAACTAATCTTAAAACATAATAACAATAATTATAATTATAAGGAATCATTTTTAATGATTTTTGGAATGGTTTCTAAGCAAATTGACATATATTTAAAGAACATAAAATGGTTAAATCAAATAGAATTAAAATAAAAGTGTAAAATTTAAATATTAGGAATTTTGATTACTCAAAGTAGGACTAAATTAAATGAAAATTAAACTTTACAATCTAAATTAAGAATTAAATTATAGAATTTAAAAAGGTGAGAGATATTTATATTATAATTAGGATATTATAAAATATATTTTTAAAAAATGAGGTGAAAGTGGGCCAGCCGAGTGACCTTCAAAAATACCCAAGTCCCAGCCTTCATCTTCATATTCTCATCAAACTTTCCTTACTGTTTTCCCAAACTAAAAAGGTGAATGTGAAACATTCACTCACAAACTCAGAACTAAGCTTCCCAACTCCCCTGTTTTCATTTCCTGTAAGTTCCAGTCAGATGACCACAAAAATTCACCCTAGTACTACTTCGTTTCTTGGGTATAACCCCTTTCTTCCTTTTTACTTTCTTCTTCATTTTACTTTCTTCTTCCTCTTTCAACCGTAGAGATTTCACGTCGTGTGGGAAGAGAAGAGCACAAATTTTTTTTCCTAAACCTAAATCTAGTTTCTTTCAACTGTAGAATTTTCGGCCTTTTTGATTGATTTTTGTTTCTGTTTTGCAATAACGGTGGAATAACGCTCATTGCGTCCCGTTATCGGCGCTTCTCACCGTTACCCGTTAAATTACGGGCGCGATAGACTGTTATTGATGTAAATCCGTTACCCGTCGTTAAAATCATCAATAACGGTTTCGGAAGGCGGCGCTACCGTAAAATAGCGGCCGCTATAACGTTTTGGGTCTGCTATTTGAAACCCTGGTTTAGAGGTAATTATAAGTTAATACATGTTTAAAGTCTTTTTAATCATTGGTAATACATACCCACCCTTATGATATAATTTCTCAAACCATGACCTCAACAAAGAATAATACTCTTTTTAATCATTGAAACTAAGATAAATATAACAATATTATATTCTTATAGATTCAAAAGCTCTTAATCCCTTCGTATTATTGTCAAGTAATTTAAGAATTATTGATAAAAAAAAATTAATACTATCAACGATACAATTGACAGTTAACACTTTCAATCGATTAACAATTACATTCCCTTCACTATATATACAATCCACGACTTTAAAAGAACAATCGTCAAAGAACATAACATTCTCAAAGAATTTCGGTTCAAACTTATACCCATATATCTCAAGCTCTAAAAATCACTTTATCAATCTCTATATCTCGAGCTTTATTGGTCCAAAATACAATGCAGTAAAATCAACGGAACCATTCTATAGAAGAATTTAGTAAAATCTTTATGAAATTAAAAATAATAATTAAATTATTCTATTAGTGTTGATACATTTTAATTGTTAATTAACAATTAAATAATATATTAATTTTCCTTTAAACTGAGTTAGTCATAACTTTCACTGGTTTAAACTCGGTAAAAACACTATCTATTAATAGCATTATTGTAATATACCCACAAAACTTTGACCAAATAGCAACAACAAAAAAAACGACTTGTAAAATCGTGTTAGTTCGGATAACCAAAACCATGCCACCAAACAATATATATATATATATATATATATATATATATATATATATAAAAGGATAAAGTATATAAATAGTCCATCAACTATAGGTGTTGTTTTATTGAATCTATCAAATATTAACATTTACAAAATAGCCTTTTAATTTTGGGTATTGTTTATTGAGTCAATCGACAATTAAAAGTTATAAAATGGTCGTCTAACTATTTATATGTTTTAAATTCATCATTTTTTTTAAAATAAATTGATGGTCGACTAGGTTAAACATTAACCTACTGATTGAATATGATATAATTATATTTTAATGATGTCTAGTAGTATTATCGTTGCTTTCAAACATTAACTCGATGTCATATTATTTTAATGAATGACTTAATCAGTAAATAATATACTTTCTTTAAAAAAAATGTTGTAAATATGTCGAAATAAAGAGTACGCATTTCCATAATTGCCCCTACCTGATTGTACAAATGACTTTCCTCTTTGGCACACCGTCCCTTCCTTCTCTCCCAGTACTTCGCCGATGACGATATTTCTCGTACCTTACGGTTAGCTGATCGGAGTCCGTCGATCCTACTAACTTTAAATTAAAGAAAAGAAAAAGGAGGGACAAATTGAAGGGAAATAGGTCATGAGGTCTTCGACGGAGAGAATAAACATAGCGGCGAGCGCGCGAAAACTCGAGGTTGATAACCGGATCTCTCTCCAGTATTACTACCGGATCGCCGACAATATTCTCAAACAGGTTTATTTTTCTTATTAGATTTGTTTATTTTCCCCGTTAAATTAATTAGTTGTAATATATAAATATATTGTGCTGTTTGTGGTCCATAATTTTGGTATGTATAGTTGATTAAGGTGACTTAAATCTCGTTTGGGGGTTGCATTTGTCACTTATATTTTGCTCTCTGCTTTTGTTTCCTAATAGTTGTTAAACATTAGAAGAAAATAACACAGAAGTGTAATCATATATAATTTGAAGTAGTGGATATCGGGAAAGGGAAATGACTGATCTGAATCTTAGAACATAGTAGCCTTAGTGTAGTTAGGGTTTCAGGGCATATACAACGTGGGAAAGTATGAAATGTTCATATGTTAGTTAAGTAAATCCCTTGTAAAGTTCATTGGTATGTCTGTCCAAGGAAGTGAGCTCCGAAGTACTAGATTGTGTAGGTGTGTGTTGAAGGCCTTTCAAAGCTTGAATCTGCTCTTTCCTTTCCTAGTATGTTACTGTGTTATAAAGTCTCCCATTAGCTAATCAATTGGCTAAGTTTCCATCATGTTTTTCTTAAGGGGAGGTTGAGGAAGAATGAGGTTGTAGTGCTTTTCTAGGTCCGGCAATTTCCCCTTGTGTCGAAGTAGATTCTGCCCTATCTTTGATATAGGGAGGTCCTGGTTATTCAGGTCTTTTCCATTTATGATAATTTCTTGTAGAAAATGAAAATGCCTTCAAATCGGTGAGGGGAACTAAGCTAATATTAGACCTCACTGAAAGAATCCACTCATGAGTTTAAGACAGGAACTCAGATATCTGCTGGTTTATTGATGACATTTTTCCTGCTGCATTTTGCCCAAAAGATGGGTAAACTAAGAGTAAATGAATCATCATGGGCCATGATTTGAGAAATGAATTATTTTGCATTTGTGCAGAGGTTTATTTTTGGATTTAGAATGTTGTTGGCTTTATCATAGTGCATTCTTTTGGTTATAATGCATTTTTGATACTGTTTGCTCCCTTAGATTCTCGCTTATATTATGTTAAATATTCGGCCATGCTCATGGTTTAATACTGCCAGCTATTTTATATTGCGAATAAATTAACTTCTTGGTCTGAATGATCTGTCTTTTTCTTATGTACTCACTGCTCTCTAGGCTGATATCTTTCGAGCAGAGAAGAATATTATAGATCTCTACATCATGCTTCTAAGGTTTTCTAGGTCAGAAAAAGGCACTTCATCGTTTTTAAATGAATTTCTTAATATTCCTTTGAAATGAATATAAAGCTACTTGTTCCCTATCTCGCTTTCTTTCTTCCTTCCTTCAGTTTGGCTTCTGAGACAATACCATGCCATCGAGATTATGGAGTATCTCTACGAAATCAAAAGGTTTATTTCAAAAAGGTAATAAATCCCTCCCCCCCCCCCCAACCTCTGCTTACTATTCTTAGTATTCTAAAGTTTGTGAAATTTGATTTCAAATTCTTGTTGTAGAGACTAGTGAATGCCTTGACTGAGCTAGAGGATCTGAAGCCACAGGTGCAACAAAAGATCAATGAATTAAACAAAAGATATACTTATCAAAGTAATTCAGTACAGCAATCTCTGGTGAAAAACCAAAATTTGACATACTATGGTGTGACAAAGGTACTGTTAGTGCTTCTTAATTCTGCTCACGAGCTGGTACTTCAATTCGTTTTGACTTCCTTTTTATCATCTTGTAGTATAGGCCAAGTTAGTGTTCTTTTATGATTATAGCTACTCAATTTCTGATTTATTCTTTTACTCTTGTCAATCTAGCTTCATTATCTAAATGAATTCCTTTGTTCATCTGCAGGCAGTTAGACCAGCTGCACGGGAGCTTGGTTATTATGGTTCAAAAACTCAGCAACTTTCATATTCCAAACCAATGGAAGGGCAGAGAATGTAAGTTGTTTTCTTTATTTTATTGATGCTCACTGATGTTGCTTAGAATTTCGAACCTGAAGTGTTGATTTCTTCTCCTCAATAACATACAGAACAAATATATTGCTCTTTTTCTCTGCTACCCCTCCTCTTACTTGCCTTCTTATGTTTAACATCTGATACACAAAACATTATCATAAATCTTTGGTCGCTACAGTCAAATCACCCTTCATAGTCATTCATATATAGACAAATAGTAGTAAATTTGTAAGGTTAACTGCCATATATCATCCTAAATCTTTGCTAAATGGTGAAAACAAATTTCATAGCTATTGAAACAGTATCAAATTGCATAATGTTTCTATTCTTTTCAACTGTTGAACTGGTTACTATTAAATTTAAAAGAAAATTAAATATGAGAAACGAGCTTTTGGACAATGTAAGATGCTAATTTTGTTATAAATTGATTTTTTTCGTTTCTTTTTCATGGAGAAAGAATAGACTATAGTGGAAAAAAATTATCAGGCAATCCCTTAAGCTTATTAGACGATTGTTTCTTGGTTTCAAAAGGCGCACCTAGGTGCGAGGCGCCAATGGGCGCTGAAGAAATCGCCTTCCTAGGTGGAAGCGAGGCGTTATACAAGAGACGAGAGGAGGAGCGCGCCTAGGGATTTAGGCACTAGGCGCAACGCCTCTGGGCTTTTCAATTTTTTTTAAATAGTAGTGTTTTTAATAAATAAGTATATTTTAATATTAAAAAAAAACCTTTACTAAGTCTGCAAGTCACGATAGAGAAAACATAAAATCCCTAAAAACACTCTCTCCATCGCACGCTCCTCTTCTCCAGTCTCCACTGTGCTCCTCTTCTTCACTGGCCGTCGCACCAGTCATCGCCGATCAGGTAATCTTCCTTCTCCTTCTCACCTCCTCCTCCTCTCCTCCTCAGCTGGTCCTCCTCCTTCTCCTGTCTTGTTTCTAGCGTGGGTATTTGTTGAATAATTTTCAAAAGCACATTATTTTACATAAGATAATTTTGTTATAACTTTTTAATTTCTAAAATTTTAAGTATTTTTAATAATTTAAACAAATAAAAAATGTAAAAAAAGATAAGTGAAAATGGTAACGAAAGTCTACTAATGCAAAGCAATAATAGTTCTATTAATCCGATCGTACTCTAAAACATCTCCTTCAAAAGTCAAAAAGAAAAAAAACTAAAACAAAGAGAGTTACACACTGCAACCAGTCAACCACCACCTTCTTTACAATAAAATATTTGTTATTTGTTAATTAAAGAGAGTTACACACGGCTCAGTTTAACTCGTACAGGTAAGCTCGGTTTAATATTGGCTTTATTGATTGCCTTATAATATATGTGTGTCTTAACAGATCATGAATCCATGATTTACTCAGGCTTAATCCCCTATTCGAAAGATGTCTATTTGATCTTTTGATTATCTATGTTTTTTATGTTAGCTTGTGTGTTGTTAGTTGTTAGTTGATACTTGATAGTGCAATGATATTGAATATTTTGATCTTTAGAGAAGTATAATATTATTTATCATGTTATTTTGAGTACAAAATATAATTTGCATTTGATCTATATCAATAGTATAAACAGTGTGCCTTGCATACGAAAGGCGCGTGCCTGTGCCTTGCACCTAGGCTCCAGGGACCTTTTGGGCCTCGGTGCGCCTTGCGCCCTTAAAAACCAAGGAGTTTTGATTTGAAATTGTATCTGATGCTGAATATGTATAACAAAATGAAGCGCATGTGGGTTTGCTCATTTTGGCTTTTGTATTAGTGATAAGGACAACTTTTTCTTTCTGGAAGAATGTTAAGGGTAACTTACTCTGTCGTAAAATGCAGTTTGGGTTGAATTTTCTGATATTGCAAATGAAGCTTTGATTTTACTTTGACATTTTGTTTTCCTACTTTAGTTCATATTTAATGATGCTTTGGCATTTTATGTTATAAGAATTGATTCTGGAATTCAAGATCAAAATTTTAGTGCATGCCACGTCTGAAAAGTGTGTTTGATGACCTATAATTATTTTTTTTCTTCTTTAGGTCGTTAAACCTGTTGCGTCCAAAGGAGGAAACCCTCTCCAGACATTCTATTTTGGGTCCAAATGGGCTTTATGGGCAGTGGCAGCCACCTAGGATTGATAAAGGGGTATGGTGATATTTAGCTAATTCTCTGATCCTCACTAAGACTGTTCTTACAGTTCTTTTCATTTTGCAGGTGAAATATCCAAGTAACGTTGATCTGACTTCGGTGGAAATCCCAAGGTCAGCGCTTTATGGGTTTTGTTTTTTGGGAATATTTTGTATTTGTTGATCTCAAATTACATTGCTATTAATTCAAATATCTCATGGAGAGAGTGAGAGAGCGAGAGTGCAAGTTTTCTGATGGAAAAGCTAGTGAGGTCCATGGAGGGGGTACTTGGTCTGCGTTTGTTGATAATCTTAGTCGGAGAGTGAGCAGAAGAACATTAGGGGAACTTTTTAGTTATCATGGCAAAGTCATTAGGGTGTTCATTCCATTTATCAATAACAGACCGAAATATAAGGATTGCACGTTTGCGTTCGTTCACTTTGCAAGCAAGGAGGATCTATGCAATGCGGTGGAGAAGACGAATAATGTCAGGGTTGATGGGAAGATAATTTCTGTGTCAGTAGCTAAATATGACAAGCTATCTGAGATGAATAGTCGTGAAGGGTTTAGAGCGGGGGGTTCCAAAAGGGTAGAAACAGGTGAGTTGAAAGGCAGAAGAATGATTTCTCCGGCACAAGTGGCAGAGAAAATGGAGAGGATGAATAGGTTCCTTGATGGAAGAATGTATAGAGACACGGTAGTTGGGGTGAAAAAAGTTCCAGAGGGCCTTCAAGTAAGCAGTCAAGGGAATAAAAAAGAGGAGAAGAAATCTTTGGAAGTCTTTATCCCAGTGGAAGAGAGAATATGGTTGAAATCTTCACTTACTGGCATTTGTAAAGATATCTTTGAAGTTGATTTTGTGCAGAAAGCCTTACGGAACGAGGGCTTCAAGGCGAAAGTGATAAGGTGGGGTCAAGGAGAGAAGAATGGCAATGGAAGAAAGATGGGAAGCTCTGTCGTTTTGGTTTCAATTATTGGATCCGGTTGTGGACGAGGGGGGTATCCCATTAGCTTACTGTGCGATTTCAATGGTTGGTGTTCCATTAAATTGTTGGTCGGTCCCGTTCTTTTATAGTTTAGCATCCAGATGGGGCAAGTTAGTTAGAATTCAAGATCAAACTGCACATAGAGTGGATTGCAGAGTGGCACAGTTGTTACTAAGGGTTGAGAGTCCATTTGATATTCCCGAACATGTCATCATCAATACATATGGGAGGAAGTTCCTGATTAAAATTAAGGTTGAATGTGTGGAGGATTTTTTTCCTGAGTTAATAGACATGGAGGAAGAAGAAGTTGCAGAAGACCCATGGGAGAAAAGTTCTTCGGAATGGAGCAATGAAGAAGTGCAAAATGGACAGGAAGAGCAGGTGGGAGAGAAGGAGCTGTCAGAATCCCAAAATAGGGTTGACGAATGGGTTAGAAGTTCCCAACCAGGGATACACACAAATACCGAGGGGGGTTTGAATTTAAACATAGGAATGGAAAATACGTTTGACCTGTGCAAAGATGTGACTGAGGCAGGTAATGTCTCCATCCAGCAGGAAAAGTCAGAAGAAGTTAATGAAGGGAGAGAAAATGGGAAATGTCTGGGAGATCCTCCCAATGAGCATGAGAAAGTTGACTGTGGGAGTAGGTTTCTTAGGGGCCCGGTAGTACAGGTGAGGAGTGGGCTGGATCAAGAGAAGGAGAGATTAAGCAAGGATTATTGTACTAATACAACAGGATTCAATGGTGTGCAGTATCATACTTCCCTGCAGGAGGGGTCTGTTTCTGTGTCTGCTCATAAAAATTTTGGGAAGACTGTATCTGGGAGTATAGTGGGAAGGGCTAAGTGCAAACGTGTTTATTCACGATCAAGGAGGGGGGATCTAGGAGCCGTATTGGTACAAGTTCGGAGCATGCTTATAACAATGAGGAAGTGGATGGGGCAGAGGCTTTGGAGTGTTGGAACGTAAGTGAATTGTTAGGGGTCACATTCAGAGGGGGGAAAGAAGCTTTTATGAACAAAATGATTCCTTTGATAGAGAGAAGTACAGGGGGTAATTAAGGGGTGCTGGATTTTAGGGTTATAGATGGATATTGATGACTAGTTGGAATTTAATGTCTTGGAATATTAGAGGTTTGGGTATGAGGGTAAAGGCTAGAGCTGTTAGGAGGGTTGTGGAGAAGAGAAAGCCTTTAGTTTTATTCATTCAGGAATCGAAAATGGAAGTGGTGAATCAATCGATAGTGAGGAAAATGGGAGGAAATTTGTTGACAGCTACGACAGTTTCAGCAGCTGAAGGTTCTGCTGGTGGTCTGATTACTTTGTGGAATGAAAAAGAGTGTCAGGTTCAAGAGGAGATCATTCATAGGAGATTTGTAGCAGTTAAGGGTACTATTGATGAGGTACTAGGGTCTTGCTGGTTCATAAATGTGTATGGACCGAGTGTGGGGTCAGAGAAGGAGGCGTTCTTCGGGGAGCTGCTTTTATTTCTGGAGAATTTAGACAGTCCAGTCTGTCTCGGAGGGGACTTCAACGTGGTTATGCCACAGGAGGAGAAGATTGGAGGTGCAGTGAATTTAGCTTCAATGTTTGCTTTCAGAGAATTTGTGAGTAAAGCTAATCTAGTGGATTTGCCTATGGTTGGAGGTCGATTTACATGGTGCAACTATAGAGAAATTCCAACTTACGAGAGACTAGATCGGTTCTTAGTGGATCAAAGTTTTTTATCAGTATTCCCCATGATAACACAAAAACTCTTAGAAAGGTCTGTTTCATATCATAACAGCATCTTACTGGAAAATAGGGGATGGAATTGGGGACCGAAACCGTTTAAATTATTTAACTATGTCATGGAAGTGGAGGGTTTTTGTAGAATGATGGAGGGAGAGCTGCACAAGCTATGTAGAGTGGAGAATAGACAACCGATTTCTACTATATTAAAAGGGGTGCAAGAAGCAGTGAAGAAATGGTCTAGGAAGGGGTATTTAGAGTTCCCCGGGAGAATAAATAGGTTGGAGAAAGAAATTCATGAGAAGGAACTTCAATTGCAACAAGGTCTCCCCTTGGTGTCTATGAAGAATTTAGTGGAAGCAAAGAAAGAGTTGTGGGACTTGTATAAAAAAGAGGAATCGATTTGGCTACAAAAGTCAAGATTGAAGTGGAGTTTGGAAGGGGATAAGAACACTAGATTTTTCCACCAATGTGCAAGAGGTAGAGGAAGGAGAAATGGTATCAAATCCATCAAAGTAGACAATGAAGACATTTCAGATCCAGAATTAATTAAATCTTCAGTGGTGCATTTCTTCAAGGGGTTGTTTAATCAGGAAAATACATTGGAAGTGGAGGAACTGGACCTGGATTTTTTACAACTCTCGGAACAGCAGAGATTGGCCCTTGAGAAGCCTTTTTCTGAAGAGGAAATTTGGGGTGTAATTGCTAACTCGGATAGTAACAAAGCACCTGGCCCGGATGGACTGAATTTAGGTTTTTTCAAGAAGTTCTGGTCAAGTTTGAAGGAAGTTCTGTTGCTGTTTTTTAAGGAATTTTATGAGGGAAAGGACTGGGATAATGACACCAATCACTCTTTCCTTTCTCTTATTCCTAAGAAGGACAATCCGGAGGGGTTAGAAGATTTTAGGCCAATTAGCCTAGTTAGGGGTTTTTATAAAATTCTTTCAAAAGTTCTAGCGAGAAGGTTAAGCTTGTGTATTAGTGAAGTTATTAGTCCATCTCAATTTGCATTTATACCGGGGAGACATATTTTGGATTGTTCGTTTATAGCAAATGAGGGCATTGAGTGTTGGAGGAAAAAAGGATTGAAGGGAGTTGTTTTTAAGGTGGATTTCAAGAGAGCCTGTGATTCGGTTGATTGGAGGATATTGGTGAAAATAATGAGCAAAATGGGGGGAGATAGATGGAGTTCTTGGATGTACAAGTGTATCTCAACAGCTTCCATTTCGGTTTTGGTAAATGGCACACCTACAGAGAGAATATACACTACTAGAGGATTAAGACAGGGTTGTTCATTATCTCCTATGCTGTTCAATTTGGGAGGCGAACTGTTACATCTAATGTTCGTGAAAGCAGTGAACAAAGGGTTGTTTTCGGGTTTTGAATTAGGCTCGATGGGTCGTTCTTTCATGTTATCACATTTGCAATTTGTTTATGACTTAATAATTTTTAGCAAGGCATCTACTCATGATTTGGTGAATATTAGAAGGGTGCTTTTAATTTATGAATTGTTGGTGGGGCTGAAGTTGAATTTGAATAAGAGCAGAATTTTTGGAATCAATGTGGGGGAGGAGGAGTTAGCTTCTTGGGCCAAGGAAATAGGTTGTGCAAGAGGAGCTTTTCCATCGGAGTATTTAGGTCTACCGTTAGGGGCTAAGAGGAATTCCTTTTCTTTGTGGGAATCGGTGGTACAAAAATTTTATAATAGTTTGGCTGGGTGGAAGGCAAAGTCTTTATCTTTGGCTGGACGGGCAGTTTTGGTTAAATCAGTGTTGTGCTCTCTTCCAATTTATTACCTTTCTATTTTTAGGATCCCTATTAGTGTTCTCAACAAATTAAATTCTATCATGGCGTCTTTTCTTTGGGGGGGGGATCGACAGAAAAAAAGAACATCCATTGGGTCAAATGGCAATTGGTGTGTAAGCCAAAGAAGTTGGGGGGTTTGGGAATTCCAAATCTGTTGCTTTTAAACAGGGCTCTTATGGGGAAGTGGGTGTGGAAATTTGCTGCAGAAAAATCCTCTTGGTGGAAAACAGTGGTCTGTTGTGTAAACAATATGGATCCAAATTCAATGATGATCCGGAATACTTGGACAACTCGTACTTCTTGGATTTGGAGAGGAGTTGTTAAGAACTTTTCAAGTGATGCATTTGGGGATTGTTTTAGGAAAAATTTGTGTGTTAGCTGGGAATGGAGAATCAGTGCAGTTTTGGTATGATGTATGGTTGGGTACGGTTCCTCTGAAGGATAGGTTTCCAAGGTTATTTGCTATGTCGAACAACAAAGGGGGGATGGTTGCAGAGTTCAGGCTGTATAATGACTCGGGTGGGGTTTGGGATATTCAGACAAGAAGGAATTTGGTGGATTGGGAGGTTTAACAGTGGCTGCAGCTTATCTCTCTCTTGAACAGTTACTCATTATCATTAGTTGAGGATGATTTTTGGGTTTGGTTGGGAACTGGTGAAGGCTGTTTTATAGCAAAATCATGCATGCAATTGTATTTTGATAGAGAGGGTAATGATGAAGTAGAAGGTAATTGGGAAAGATATGTTTGGAAGGGGGTAGCTCCACCACGAGTGGAAACCTTTGTTTGGCAACTTGCTCATCACAGAGTAGCGGTGAAGGAGGAACTGCTAAAGAGAGGAGTTACTGGGGTGGAAGACACTGTGTGCTCTTTGTGCAGGAAGTGTAATGAGTCGGTCTCACATTTGTTTCTGCACTGTGATGTGGTGTGGGACCTTTGGGTTAAGTTCTTAAAGTATTGGAATGTTTGCTTTGTGGTTTCGGCTAAGTTGATGGAATTCTTAATTGCGAGGGATGAGTTAGTTCCAAGATCTTTCATATGGAAGTTTATCCCTAGGGCTGTGTTGTGTTCGGTTTGGAAATGTAGGAATGAGGTGATTTTCCAGCAAGGGAAGGTTGATTCTGCGTTGTTGTTCTTCATTACAAGGTTCAGAATTGTTTCGTGGTTTGGAACTTCATTTAAGGATGTCCATATTCCTTTCGATTCCTTGATGGGGGACTTAAAATTAGCAGACTGTAATGGTAATTTGAATAAGAGGATTCCTCCTCCTTCTAGTTGGAGTCCTCCTCCGGAAGGTTTTTTAAAAGTAAATGTTAATGGTGCAATGGTCAAAGGTTGGGATAAGGGGGGAATTGGTGGATTGATTAGGGATGGGAGTGGTTCGGTGCTTGGGTTGTTTTCAGAGAAGGTAGGGGGAGGTCCTCCTTTACTTGCAGAGCTTTTGGCGATCAAAAGAGGGTTGATTCTTACTGAGGAAGTTGGTTACAGTTCAAGCCAGAGGATTATTTTGGAATCAGATTCGACTAATGCTCTAAAGTGGATTAAAAATCCAGACCTTAGTACTCCTTTGTTTAAATCCTTGGTGACGGATATATCTACTCGTGTGGAAATGAAGGGTATTATTACAAGGCATATTCCGAGAGCTGCAAATTGGGAAGCGGATGAATTAGCAAAAGCTGGTATAGGTTGATTTTTGGGTTTCTATTGTGGTTAGAGGTGTTATATCTTGACTGTTTTTTAAGGGAGTTATTAGGGTGCGTTATGTATCCACAGTTGTGGCTTAAAGGTTATGTTGTTAGTAGTTAGTCATGTAGGTGTGGAGGTGTATTATGGTTCTCATTAATAAAAGTTAGAGGCACTCTTTTCCTTCTTCCTATGCCCTTCATGTTATGTTTATATTATAACATGTAGGGTATGAAGGGGGTTTTTAATGAGGCCTTTTTTATCAAAAAAAAATTACATTGCTATTAGACAATAATAAGATAGTTTCTGAAGGCATTGAAGGATTATTTTATAGAAGTATATTGCCTTCGAAGTGAATTTGAAACTTTGAAGTGACTCTCCATGCATGAATTGATGTCTTCTTTTATCTATTTTGATTGTTTAGTAGAAGTTTATGGTTTGACTACTTTATTATCTGATGATCTTTATGCACAACCAGTTTGCAGCAGCCTACAGAAAATGAACTTCCAGGGAAGAATGATTGTAGCAACTCAGAACCTGTAGCATCAAGCGTGGAATCAACTCTTACCATTGATGATCATGTTAATAGTGAGAAAAGTCACGTGGATGAACCTTGTCCTATGATTTCTTTTGAAGAACCAGAAACTGCTCCTGCTCATAATAATATTACCAGACAGCCTTCACCTCCTCCCGTGCTTGCAGAAGTACAAGACTTGGTTCATACTATCCATGCCTCCAAGACAGATTGTACAATAGAGAATCCCTCTGCAGATGGTCTTGTTCATTCTGAATCTCCCCTTGAGTTGCACATTGTAAGTTCAAGACATTTTATGTTGATGTTTATTCTATTGCCTTCCTTGAGAATCAAGTTTCTTGGGATGACAATGGCATAATTTGGTTATTCTAAGGAAAGATCTTTTACTTTTTATCCTCCTCAAGAAGCGTTAATGTCTTGATTTGACATTTGTCTGTTGCAGGCAACCACAATGATGGAAAGCTTCATGAAGCTGGCTAAATCAAATACTGATAGGAATTTAGAAACTTGTGGGGTTCTTGCAGGTTCCCTTGTAAGTATCGATGCTTCAAGACCTTTGCTTTGCCTTTGACATAATGCAATACTTAAGTTTAATGTGGTACTGTTCTGCAGAAAAATAGAAAGTTCTATGTTACAGCTCTTATTATCCCAAAGCAGGAATCAACATCAAACACGGTATGGCTGTCTCAATGTGGATTTACCATGTCCAACTTCAATTCGCTTCTGTCAATCAAATTTCTCTTTCTTTTGTTACTCTTGTTACTCTTGTTTATCAGGTTATCTGATTCCTTTTTATACTTGACTTCTTATTAGTGTCAAACGACAAATGAGGAAGAAATATTTGAAGTGCAGGATAAGAAATCTCTCTTCCCTCTGGGTTGGATTCATGTAAGTGTTTCATAATCAGGTCTGTTGACCTTATAATTAATCTGCTCTGTTACAAAGTGATTGGCACTCCTTTGCATTAACTTGAACAGGATTTCAAACCCACTTAATAAACAAGTTTAGGTAGAATATAGGTTAGCTCTGTCCATGAATGAACTCAATAACCTATTTTTGGAAAAGCTTCATAGAACTTTGTTTAATTTTCATAAGTTCAATACTTCTTGAAGATTATTTGAGAAAGTGGGCATATTGTAGATTAAAGTTAATGGCATTATTTTAAAAAGATATATGGCTACAAAGACATTTGTCATGTGTCCATGAGGCCATCAATGAGCATTTGATAGGGAGGACCTATCTCCGTTAATAACCCCTCTGTATTTTATTATTATTATTTCAAGCTTGATTAAAGTTAGACGAAATGAACCTCAGAAAAGGAGACTTGGCTTTCCTTTACTTCCCATTAAACTTGGCACATTCCCACCCTTATTTTTATATGGTAAGCCATTTTTTGCAACCTAAATCTTTTCTACATAGGTTCTTTATATTAAGCTTGTGATATGCTACCTTATGTGGTGTTGAAGACTTTGTATGGGGCTTATGGTAGCATATTGTGGGGGATTGGTGGTGGGAACAATTTTCAGTTTTAAATTTGTGTGGTAAAATGAAATCGATACAATATTTGGGCTAAGAATGTAGTTAAACTGATTGTGATATAATTGCACCTAAAATTTTAGGATGGAGAAGTAGGGAGAAGTGGGCTAAAAATATGGGCCCTTTGACCTCGTTATATTTATAGTTCTTTTTGGCAAGTTGGTCTCACTGGAGCTTTATATAATTATGGAATATAGGAGGGAATGGGAGTCAGCAAATTAAATCTATCTTTATTTCCGACTCCATTAATCAAGATCTTATGTCATAAAACAGGAGTATATGACATTAATACCAAGCAATACATATTGCAAAGCATTTGTCTCCCATTCTTTTAATTGACATTTTGCGCGTCTAACAACAACAACAACAAAACCCAATTCCCATATGCAATGGGGTAAGGGGGAGGTAAGGTAGTAGGCTGCTCCCAACGCCAAGTTGAGAGTAGCTTCCGTGGAAGACCTCCGGCAGTCAGAAAATTAAAAATATAGATAAAATGCAAAGCATGTATAAATAAATACATAAATACATAGTTGAACAATATTCATATGCAGTCATAAATATCATTAATATTATATGCGCGTTTGAAATGAGAAGTAATCCCTGCAAAAAAATCTCTGCATATAGACAGAAACGTAAGACCCGAGTAAATTTAAAAGTGAAGAGAATATTACACAGAAGTCCACGATAGCAAGCCCAGTTCTAAGCCTACATAAATACCAATAACAGAAACGTATAAAAAGTAGAATTGAGGGGATGAGCGTTTTATAGTCCTTATGCTGATCAACTGATTAACTATGTTTCAATCCCCAGACACATCCTACTCAATCATGTTTCATGTCATCAGTTGATCTTCATACTCACTACTCATACCAGGTATGCTTTTCGTATCATAATAAAAGTAGCGCCTTTTAATGATTGATTCATCTGTGAATGTTTTCGTCAATTACTCAATTATATATTAAGGTCGCTGCTAATGTCTCTATTTACGTTGACTCACGACATTCTTGTGCTTATCTTGAAGTGCAGACAGTGTCTAGCACAAGAAACTGTGTTAAGTGTATGGGCTGGGTTGGATAAAGTGAAAATGCTGTCATTTTCGTTAGGTATCTGTGTTTGTACTTTGTAACGGGTAGGGATCCTGCCTGCTAAAAGATAGCAGGGCATCCATTACTTCATCGAATGATATAGAATGCACATTGAAATTAATCTACGACTGAAATATTAATTTAGTTGGTGTGAATGAAAAAAAAATGATATGAACAAATATTGGCCATATATTTATTTTAATCTGTATTATCACACTAGGATGAAGTAGTAGATATCTCAGTTATCTAGAAGGCACTGGACAGGATCATTCCCTTTTTACCATTCTTCGATTTGTGGTTTTTGAATCTCTTTGTGAAACCGGAAGAGAGATTAAACTCGTAAAACTACATTTTCTCCTTAATTTGGGATACTGAAATGGGGTTTGTAGCATGTTGGCAGGAGTTGCTTCGGGGCATGCCAATCGGATTGTTTTCTTTTGTTTTACTTGGCAAACTGTATATCAATATTTTAGCAGGATCTCCCTGAACTTAGTCATTTGCAGTAGAGAAGCCAATATGGGTATGTTGGTGATTGTATGTGCCCGTAATGATCGTGTGTATTTGTAGATTATGTTGCCAGAAGCTGTTGCGATAGTAATGGCTCCAACAGATAGTAAAAGGTGAGAAGCATATTATAATGAATGATTGATGAATTTTTTATTATCTGCTGTGTGTGTTATGTGTATATATATGCAATAAGTGTCGAACTTTTCGTTCCTCTGATTATGAGTGCAGAAAACATGGGATTTTTCGTTTGACAACTCCGGGTGGCATGTCGGTCATCAGACAGTGCCAGCAACGTGGTTTTCATCCACACAATCCACCGCCTGATGGGGGCTCCATCTATGATTCGTGTACAGATGTGTACATGAATCCGAGTGTTAACTTCGAGGTCATTGATCTCCGATGATGATAATCATCATCAATCATGGCAGCTGGATGGACATGTTTTGGAGATGCATTTACCATGCTCATACTGTTACCAGCAATTCCAAACTGCCAGCTGCATATATATAGAAGATAAAGAACTGTGGGGTACCAAACTGTGTGATTAATTCCAAGTTGAATTGGAAAAGAAAAAGAAATTAAGAGACGACTGGAGTCCATTCTTTGTATGCATTAAACATGAAAAACTTATGATCAATTCGAAGTTGAATTGCAGACTTGTAATGGTAGTCCGCGTTTAGTGAAAAGCCATTAGAATCTCTGATGATACACCAACGCTGTATCATTTTTCAACAAGTCAGACCCTTTTTTATAATGCGTTGGGTGGATAAATGATTTCGATTTCCTTTTGCAAATTTTCATACCCCGCAATTATTTACATTTGGGTCAAACATTACTAACTGGGGTTATATTTTCTGATAGAGTTGCTTTATGTGTCAATAAATATAGGATAAATTATCTATTTACCCATCTATTACTTAATTTTTGTTTTGGTCACTAAATTATCGACTTTTTTCAAAATTATGTTTTAGTCATATAAAATATTAACAATGATGATGATTTGTCATTTTATGGTAATGCCATGTTTAGCATTGAAAAATAATAGAAAATGTTATTAAAGCATCACTGTTAGCTTTTTAATGACGATTAATCAAAATAATCAAAATAGAATCAAAATTTACATTTGGTATAATTTTGAAAAAATAATAGAATAGGCGAGTGATCAAATAGATAGTTTACCCATAAATTTATCAGATTTTGAATTTTAGTGGTCATTTTTTTTTAATTCAACATTATCATGTTAATATATATATATATATATATATATATATATATATATATATATTAAATTAGTGGTCAAAATGTGGAGACATCATTCCAAGCTTGAGTAGAAGAGTCCAGTGCTGATGTGAAGGTAAATATTTTGTAAAAAATCAGCTGGTTGGTGTCGTGTAGGAAGCTAACTGGGCTGCAATAAACCTTCAAGAACCTTATCTCTACTGAAATGGTAGTAGTATATTTCAGTATTTGTTGTCCCTTCATAGAAAATAGGGTTCTTGGCAATGTGTAAAGTACTTTGATTTTCACAATACAATGTAACAGGTTTGAGTTTTTGAACCCGCAACTTTTCTTAGAGTTTGATCAACCAGTTAACTTCATCTGCGGCTTGAACAAGCAATTTTATATAATCAAAAAAGGTTTAGGAACTAATAATTAGTTGATTCACTAGGACGAAATGAACATAACTATTTGTTGAACCCGTTCAACGGATGCCCTTGCAAATGCTCCTTATACAACCTTTAAAATTATTTATTTACAATTACTCTTTTTGTTTCACAATATATATTTACAGTCACTTGTCTGCAAGAGATGATTTAGACATTAATTAAGACGTATCATCTCAACTACTACATCATCATATGAAAGTAGGTTTGTGTCGAGTTATTCCGTCATTCCCACTTATCTTCAAGTGTTTTATCATTATTTGTCACATGATATCTCAGTACATAAATTTAAATTATATGACATTATTTAAGGATCTAATATCTTATTCATTAAATCAACTAGTTATTGGTGTTTTAAAATATTTTTATACATATTTTCTTTTAATTAAAATTTTAAAACTATTTGTTTTAAAAGAATTACCGAGACGTGTGACAGGACAAATAAAAGAATAATATAAACAAAGGGATGAATTATTGTATGGTGGTGAACTACTGTCTATGTTGATTCCCCCACAGAATCCCTATATTGTTTTTGGATATTTCAAATTCTTTATGGGTTAGAGTACATGCGCATGCAATATCACTGATCAAAGGAGCACCGGTGGAAGCTATGCCCGATACCAAAGTGGAACCCTGTTTTTCCGATGTTATGTGTTCCACTTCCATTATTGATCCATATCAGAAATCTGATGGACGTCTAGGATGTTTGGGTGCGGATACAGGTACTCGATATAGCGTAGGAGGCTTGACTAGAGCCGAATCGAGTTCGAGTATTGTTGAGCTCGATTTGACTCAAAAACTCTAAAATGAAGTTCAACTCGGCTCGAAAACTGACTAACTTAAAATTTTCAAACTTAACTCAAACTCGAAACTATGAATTGAAGCTCGTAAAAACTCGAATAACTCATAGTCTATCTCGCATCATTTACGGCCTAGGCTTGACATGGGATCTACCGGAGGGACGGAGAATGGAAGACTACTAGCTTTTATAGATGGGGCCTGAAAATTCAGCTTTTTCGAATGTTGTGCTGACATTTAATGGCTGTGAGATAGGTAGGCATATTGAAATCTTTGAAAATAAGTATGCATTCATCTCTGAAGTTACAAGTGGAAGACGGAGCAAGGATATTTTGCTTTATATTTGCATCTATGGACATTTGTTGATAGCTTTCTGCAAGTTGGTTCGTTTATAAAACGAGGATATGGTGCTTTATCGTAATGAAAAGCTATTTGTTTATAATTACATTCTCGTGGTTTTCCTATGCCCTGTCAATACGATTTTGTGTTACTTGTTTTGCACTATGCGACTGGTGTTTCATGCAGATATTATCTAGTGGAGAGAGCAAAATATGCTAATGTGTTGGGTTTTCGTAGGAACACTTGGTGAACGTACGGTTCTCCTGAACACTTGTAATTGCCTTTTTCTGGAATCGAATTATGGATCATTTACACTTACATATATTAAAAAAATAATTTATTATTCGAATATATTTGAATGACACTTACAAATATTAAAAAAACACACGTGATTGAAAGCGTCAGCATTATTACGCACGTACAGCTAACATCACCCTTCTAATTGGAATTTTTGTCTCATCGGCACATTATTTTTAATTCTTCAACTACGCGTTTTACTAACTTTACCAAAATATAAGGAAAAAGTTCAAATTTTAATTAAAAATTTTGAATAAAAGATCAATAGAACATATCTGATTATATTGATAAACAAAATTATAAAAGAAAATTAAGTTTCTAAAAGATCACCGATAAATTACAAATCAGAGTCGAGCGAAATGAAAACACTCTCCACCAACACAATATTACGTATTCAAATCTAACTCATGAATCCACAGCAGAAAAGATCTAACATTATAACAAATAAACATCATCTTAATCAATTATGGTGATGTCAAATCTAACTATGAAAAGAGATAAACAAAGTTATGACGATCGAAAACATGTCGAAAGATAAAAAAAAAATGTGTCACGACATAAAAAACATGTTATAGAAGTAGAGGTATTGAAACTTCAAAAATAAAAAAAAATATATAAATATGATATAAAAAATAAAAGCTAAACTACATAAATGACAACATAACAAAGGGTCGTGTCGCGAAATGACCAATTGCCGTTAACATTTAATAGAAGTGTTTTCGTGGCAGATAATAAAATTGGTATAATTAGGGCGCAAGTCCTTGTAAAGTTATGTATTCGCGACGCTGGCATCCTGCTTTGTTTTCTTTCAATTTGGACACTACTTGTATATTGATTTGTTTCCTTGGTTTCTCATTTAATGCAATTTGGTCCTAATTTTGGTCGGGTCAGGTCGAATTTTTGGTCCACCCGCCTCGAGCCCGATCTAGTATTTTGAGATGAAATCTGAGCTCGGCCCGAAATAATATATTTATTTAAAAATATTATTTTTATTCAATAAAAATAGGGATTTAATTGAAAGAAAAATAATATATAGAGAGGTATTATTGTAATTATCCCTAAATATATAAGGTAAATTTATATTTTTTATGTTATCGGGTATTTTTCACCTTAAACTCGAACCTAACCCAACTTGAACATAACCTTAAAAAAAACCGACTCGACCCGAACCCAATTTTTTTTAAATCCAACCCGATTGGATCGGGTCGGGTCAAAACCCTTTGAGTTTGTGTCCCATGCCCATCCCTATACCCGAACTCATGAGCACAATTTAAAATCAAAAGATAAATTTATAATTTGAATCTTAAATATTTTTTCTTATGATTATAATTTGAATATTATATTATATTTTAATGATTTCATATATATAATCATTAAAAAATAAATATGAAACAATAAATTTAGTTTAAAAATATAAAAATCTTAAATCAATTCTAAATAAACTATTAGAATTATTTTAGTGATTTAAGTGTTTTTATATTTTCAATTGACCTAGATGTAAGTTCTCACCTATCCCTTTTTATTTTTTATCATTAACTATAATAATATATATATATATAATATTTTAATTTTTTTTCTGTCTAAACTTAAACAATTTATATAACATATGTATTATCTCAATAATAAGTGTGAGAATTAAAAATTTATCAAAGCTCATCTTCATTTATTTTCACTTCAATTGAAGAGGTGACATGTGTCACCTTTTGATTGGATTGAAAATTTATTAAATTAACTAAATTTCATATACAAGGTGAAATGTGCCACAATTTGATTGGAGAAATTAGTTTATCAAATTAAATTGAAATTAGGATCTAATTAAATTAGAATTAAAGTTAATACATTACTAGGAGATTTTATCTATAAATTTAATACATTACTAGAATAAAAGATTTTAAAGTTAATGCTCAAATTGAGGCATTAGAAAAATTAAAAACAGAATCATGATCAAATTGCATTAAATGAAAATCTAATGAAACAAATCATATACAAATAGTGGCCAAAATGAAAGAAAACAAAGCAAGGTGCCAGCGACGTATAATGAAATCCAAATATACCTAACAACATGGAAAAACATTCCAGTCACCATCATACAACATCTAACATATATGATTTGAATTTTGAAGGGAAAAAGATGCCAATATTCTTGATTTAGTGGAAAGGAATGACTCTCAAATCGTGATGCATAATTTATTAGTTAAAATATTGATTAAGTGGGTTCTTACCTGCCTTATATAATGTGTTGTTTTATGTGGAATTAGATGATAATTCAATTCCCAAGTTAAATGTCATCTCTTTATTTCAAAATTTATGGTTAAATAAATTATGAATCATTTGGGTTTACTTAATAATAAATTTTCAAAGAAAAATAATATATTTTATCCCTGTAGCGGACTTAATTTATTATTTTGGCTCCTATCATATTTTCGTATCAATTTAGCTCTCGAAATTACTCAATTACATTATTTTATACCCTACCTCTAACTTAAAACCTTTAACCCTAAACCATAACCATGTGACCTATAAATTATAAACCCTAAATTATAAACCCTAATTAAAGGTTTATAATTTAAGGTTTTAAGTTAGGAGTATAGTATGGAAT